TCGTCATCGAAAAAACGTAGGCCAACTTTTCCGCGTTTAAACCTACCACTTAGCCAAAGGTGGCTTGCATATATAAAATGCATGACAGTTGCGAATCTCAGTCTGAATTCAACAATGACTGCGCAGTTTATATCCTAACCATACCATCTGAATAACCAGACCACTTCTAAGCTGAAGATCACAACCAGTGCCTAGATCCCGTTGAAAACATGTCTTCAATAATACCTAATAGTTGTAAGCATTTATGTCCATCCATATTGATATCATGCGGGGTCACTCTACTCCCTGGGACTGTCTAAGTGCACCGTCTGCGTGTATCTGCGGCTGGCAGAATGGTTAAATAACATTCAGCGTGTCTTTAAGTATATTATGCTAAGTACCAAACCAAGCTGGATCAACCGTCTCCTCTGAACTCTAGCACAGTGAGTATATGAGAGCAACCATGGCTTCCCTCGATTATCAGCTATGGTGCTAATTACTTAATAGGCTAATATAGTGGGCCAAAATTTTCCAAGAGGAACAGGTAATGTGGGGAAGAACTCTTTTATACAGGCAAGGCACGAGTTACGTTTCGCAACCTATATGGAAAACCAACTAAAATTCAACTAATACCCTACCAATTGCTAACGTGTTTATAACACGTTTGTACAGTGTTACAGTTACACATGTTAAAGGTTATTTCTGTTTAATGAGAGCTGTTCGGATATTTTGATTTAATGACTTTAAATAGACTTGTTGCCTTCGTTTGAAACGTCATTAAACTTAGGGAACGCCCTTTTGGAGTTAGTACTTCAATCACTAATTCTTCATGTGAGAAGTATCATTAGGACCCTTTTTTATAACTTCGACATTAGGGAATCAGACCTTTTCACGGGCAGCATAGTTTGCAATTGCATTCGCTGTTCATGGTGCTAGAAATCATGTCATATGGCCGTTAAGCGTTACCCAGGTTAATATATCTATGTAATATTCATCATCGTCTCGAAATCAATTTCGGCACGTTTTCGTACTGGTACTCTTTCTTCCCTTCCGATACTTATTTCGGCCATGACTGTACTGTACAACCGCGAAAATTAATAAAAAAATATTATTGTATGAATCCAAATACACTGTACCCCTTTTTTCAGCAATAAATGACTAAGGAAGGCACGTATGCACTCGTGATGTGTAGATCTTGCGGAAGATCAGTTAGATGGTGCGCAATTAACGCAGCTGGTCGCTTTTCTATTACGAACAGTTTTTCAGTCATCCTTTCAGAATAATTTACATAACTAGGGGTACGACTGAATAGACGTTTAGTCTATAACTCGATATTGCTCATTCAGTGAAAGCTTAGTATGTTAGAAAAAACTAAAAAATATGCACATGCAAGGACCATGAGAGTAAGAATCCACCAGCAGCAGTCAATCGTCACCCTGACGAGGCTGAAAGCTGACAGTTGCTTAGAGGGAACATTTGAATAGGTCATGGTTTCATGTTCTATGAGTGCTTGCAGCACCTCGTTTGTCAAACGCTATGTTTTACGAACCGTTCATTTTACGATTTCCCAAAGATATAGCGTGGGTATCGGTTCATCCGCTGATGTATGCCAATAAGCACTGAAATCCTCATATAAAATGATGTCATGGCTCATTGAACTGCTGTTTTGGCTTTACTACTCATTCGATGCGTTAAATCTGGTGAACATCTAATAACGTCATCAGCAGACGCTTGAACATAGAGTTTTTTGAATACAACAAAATTCGCCTTAGTAAAAAAAATGCCTTTGATTAATAATAAGACAGGGCATGGTGATGCTACACATGCCAACTACATACAAAAAGGTTAAAATCTGGTCAGCAAACGTTTAAGCGCTTTTACACAATAGGATAGCTTGCCGCCGTCGCGATTCCGCACATATTCCGCCTGTTGCGAGCCATTAAAATATACCCTTTGTCACCCCATTGTTCTCCCCAGCTAAAAAATCAAACAGAAAATATATGTTTGACAGCAAGATAATTCTTAAATAGAAGAACAACTCTACCATTACATATAGTAATAACAGTTTTTCCGCAGGACCAACCATAATCATATTGGAGTAGTCGACGGAGACCAATGGGCATATCAGAAGAATGTCCTTGGACCACCGCACTGACGAGCCATAGCTGCTGAAACCTGGCACAATAGTTTTGCTTCTTGCCTATTCTATTTGGTTGTCGTTGTGTGCTTTGTCTCCTTGGAACAAGGAAGACGTTGATCACGATAGGGGAACCAGACTACAATGTAAGCAGGTGTCTGCTTGTGAACTGTACCCGTAATTTCCCCCACAAAGGTGACCCATTTGAAAGCCGCTGTTATGACTACCAGTCAAGAATTTAAAATAAACCACCGGAGTCTACTTGGTCGAACTTTTCAGGTCCACTTGAGGTCTTCACGGTTGCCATAGCGGCTACATTGGAGCAATATCCACTGTACTTCACCATGCCAGGCAATCCCTTATTTTGATTGTTGTCTGCTGTTTGCGAAAAGGACGAGATGGTTATTATGGAGAAGGACCAAAGGAGCATAATAATATTATGACTGATAATAATAAGTCACCTGTTCTTCACGATGTAGTAGTCCGTCCCGTTATTCGTTCCGTAGCCTACGGCTAGAACTCCGTGATCCAGTGAAGAGGAACTGCAGTGTTTTTCCTGATAAATTCCTATAAATTTTAAACAGTTTTATTGCGAAGTTACTAGCAAGGAAAGTTGTAGGAGACTATATGGCGATTTTACAGGCAACCCGTTTCGTAAGCACAAGTTATCCCTCAAAGTATGAGTTCGCTTTCCTCGAAACTGCAAAACTTGGTCTTCTAATGAGTAATTGGGATGACCCATCGTCGTCCATACCTGAGCGTAATAGTCACATCAACTTACTGCAACTATAATCTTAAAACTAATTCAACTGCCAGTAAATTCTGGCTCGAAAATTCTTCTTGTTCAGGGTCAATGGATTACGTAAGGAATTTCAGTTGCGCCAGCCCCTCAAACCGCAGGGTACCCAGACGTGATATTTCCAGCATACCATGACCGTGTTATTATCTCGCGTAACAGTGTCATAAATTACATTGAAATAAAAACCAATTAAATTAAACCAACTAAAAATAACGAACTCTTCATAATGTGCAAGTTACAAAAACAGTTTTTTTCCGGTAGTCTTGAGCAAATACTTTTTAAAATCAAAAACCGAATTGTATTATGAAAAGTAAGCATTACCTCTATGATAGAACATAAAACTTTCCTGCGAAGCGTCGATAGCAACGGAAATAGGTCCAACGGTTGCAATAGCTTCTTTCAGCTTTTGTTCATCTCCTTCGGGTATGTCGATGAATCCGTAATCAACGGCTGCAACAGTGTTGGGATTAAAACGGCACTTCTTGTCCTAAAACATGAATGCGTCGAAAAGTGAACAGTAATGAGATACTTTATTTTTTTTACCTTGGCTTCATATGGATATGAGACTTCAGTATCAATACCATGGTTTTCCTTGATGTAGGTAAAAGCATTATCCATCAATCCACCGTTACAACCTTCGTTTCCGTATTTCCTGCTGCAGTCAACTAAATTTTGCTCTGACATGGAAATCAGTTTTCCACTTTTGCGTTTGTGCTGGCCTTCCAACGCACCGGTCTTAAATCAGATGTCACATTGCACTTTTCCATAAAAACAAAGCATTTTTCAAATTATAATGTCGTTTGATCATTGCCATCATTATATATTTATATTTATATATA